TTTTTTTTTATAGATGAAAGAAAAGATGATGAATTTTGAAATTTTTAAATCTCTTCAATGGTTTCTTGGTTATGTTCTGCTACACCTTCCCTTCTTCACCCAAAAACCAAATGATTTTATCTCCCTTTGATTACAATAATTGATGTTTAATATGATTTATAAGAGGTGTCTTCAATGGATATCCATACTCTTGATTTATAGAAGGTGAAATAAGATCAAGAAACATGTCCAAATTGAGTTTCAAAAGAGTTCCAATTGAATAAGGAAAGTTGCATTCGCGTCGCACATGGTTATTTTTCTGCGCAGCCGTCAGTGTGTGTATATATATATATATATATATTTGGATATTCGAATGAGATGATTTAAAGTGAATTGAAAATCTAACTCATAAGGATACAATTATTCTAGAAATAACATTTTTTCAATTCGAACAATTATTATGGCAAAAATGAGTTTCAATCTCTGATTGAAAATCTGAATTGATGAAAATACTTTGATTTTATTTCAATTTTTCACTCATCTGACTTTTAGTTGCATTCAATTGATCCTTTATATCTTCAATCAATATTTTGTGGTCCAAATCAACTATTGAAAATTTGCAATTTAGTCTTGAACTTTGAAAATTGCCATTTTCTCTAGTTTTCTCTTTTTTTCTTTTAATTTCAGTTTCAATCATTAAGTTTTACATAACAAATGAAATATAAAAGAAATTAGGTCATAATTTATCATAAGTTATTCTATACAATATGGGAAACGGACTATGATGACCAATCAAGTGAAGACAATAGCCTGACTGTTGCTATGCTAACCCAATTATTGTCATTTTAGCTCGTCCAGCGCTATGCTGTTCTGTCTACCGTTATGCTAGACCATCACCACTATATTGTTTTGTGCACCGCTATCCTAGACCATCTACCACTGTGAAAGTTTATCTACCGCTATACTAGCCTGACTAACACTACAGCAGATCAACCGTTTTAACTCTTAATTACCCGAACGTCATTTTAATTGAGCGACAACCATTTAACGATTATCATTGATCCCATTATCTAATTCATCGATAGAGGTTAACCGTTCAGCATGGGGACGAAAATCGCTTAATGAGTGAACGTGTTACACTAGACACGTGGACGATAATTTCTTAGTGGTTACATGGCACCAGGCATCTATAAGTATTTCAGAGATGTGACAGGTAGGAAGATCTTCCTTTTTCTCAACAAATTTTCTGGCATTCTCTCGTTTATCTTTAAGTCATCCCTCTACAAATCATTAATTGTCACGTCGGAGGTACAACGGGTAAGAAAGCCCCAACCTCTTCTATAAGGTATTCATTTGTTCAACGAAGAAGCAGAAGCCAATTGACCAGCGAAGCGAAGTTGCTGGTCGAATGACCAACCACCCAATGTAGTTGCTAGTTGTTCGACCAACAAGGCCATTGGTCCAGTTGGCTAGCCTATTTGACGATGGGTGGGTAGACTCTTTCTTTCTCTCATTTTCAATTTCATCCAAGGAAGATGATAAGATTGTTTCATGGAATGAAATTAAAAACTAAAGATTAAAAAAAAGATATTAGGAAAGATATTACTTGGATGTGAGGAGATTTGAGAAGTGACGGGGAAGAAAAAATGAAAACACAACCTTTGAATTTTTTGAGAAGAAACTTTCCCCCAAAATGCTAACTTCCTAATGCGGTGCCAAGTGCACAAGGCTATTGTGCCAATTGTATTTAGCCATTTGGCACGATTGTTCCACTTATGCTCTACCATATATATGTATAGAAAAAATTGAGTTTGCGAGTATTGTGCTACCTCTTAAAAGATAACTATCGATAAGTGGTAAAGGGGCTAAGTGATGCTATATGATATGAGAAACGGACTACACTGACCAATCAAGTGAAGGCAATAGCCCGACTATTGCCATGTTAGTTTGTCTACCGCTATGCTAGACCTTCTATCGCTATATTGTTTTGACTATCGCTATGCGAATTTGTCTACCGCTACACTAACCTGACTAGCATTATAGTAGATTGACCGTTATAACTCTTAATCACCTGAACATCATTTGAATTGATCGAAAATCGTTTATCGATTATCACCGATCCCATTACCCAATTCGTGGATAGAGGTTAACCTTTCAACATGGGGATGAAAACTACTTAGTGAGTGGGCGTTTTGCACTTGACATGTGGACAATAACCACTTAGCAATTATGTAGCACTAGGTGTCTATAGATACTTCACAAACGTATCAGGTAGAAGGATCTTCTTTTTTCCCAACACATTTTCTGACATTCTCTCATTTTTCTTTATGTCATTCATCTACAACCTAGTCACAAATTGTCATGTAGGAGGTATAATGAGGGAGAAAGCCTCAACCTCTTTTTGCAAGTATTCATTTGTTTTTCAGAGAAGCAAAAGCTATCTTACTCCGCCCAAGAAGTCTAGAGATCACATCTTAACTATTTCAATAAGAACTCTTAAGCATCTATATTTAAATGCCTAGATAAGTATATTATACATATATCAATCACAATTGAATAGATTAATAGACAAAAACTAAATACAGCAAAATCACCCTCTACCAATAATGAATAGATTAAAAGGTAAAAACTTAAAAGTTGTGACTTGATAGTTACTTACATTCAAGAAGAGAGCATAGTGAATATGATCGGTGCATTGCTAACTAAAATTGAAGGGCATTTGTATGAGATAGGCAAATGGAACCTCGAATCGAGACCAAATATAGGCAAATAGTGATGGTGATTGGCATAAATGAGTAGAGCAGCTCCTATTCCGCTCTACTGATAAATGAATGAATGAGTGATTGTGTGTGTGTTTGTACTTGTATTGGCATCGCATCCTATCCTTGTAGCAAATACTCTCTAAATACAAAATGCTCTTTATATTAAAGAGCTAATACTTAGAAATAAGTTCTAAGAGGCTCTCTATTTTGACTTTTTAAAATAGGGACTGGGTTTGTTCTTCAAATTTACAGTGTGAAACTCACTCTCTATTCCTAGGATTCGTTTCGCATTGCTTTTGGAGGTTCAAAGGAGTTTTTGAACCCGTTACACTAATTTTATGAGTAAATGTAATTTCCTCTGAAAGCATTTCCAATAGAAAGATTTTTTTAAACATTAGTTTTCAAATAAAATTAAGGTACCTTCCACCAAAACTACACTTTTTTTTCAATAAATAATCTTATATATGGATTATAATTTTTTCCTATCTGTTAATCACATATTCTCCAAAAATATTATTTTTCATAGATTTCATAAAATCGACATCACGCATGGGCATTCATTTACCATTTACTCATTCAACAAAAAAGGTTACATTGTTCTCTCATCTAGTCAAATTATTATCCATCCAGAGGCGGCCCTAACCATAGGGAGGCCCTAAGCGAGCGGGCCTATTGAGGCCCTATACTTTGTTTTTCAATACATATAACAATATTTAGATAAAAAAAATTATATATATCTATATTTAAATGAAAACTTTGTGTAGTCTTAAAGATAGAACTACTAAATATAATACCACTTACATCTCGAGAGATTAGACTAGTATCATATTTAGTCTTCTCATTTAGTCTTTTCAGGGTTTGAGCTGCAAAATTAATAATTAACCGACTCAAATCAAGTTTTCCAACATGTTTTTTTCAATGGAAATCATAGCTAATCCATTCAACCTCTATTGTGACATGGTTGATCGAAGATAAGACTAAATCAATTTTTATTTTTAAAAAGTTCTTTCGGTGGATGCAACAGTGACTGGGATAATCGATAATATCCTGTAAGCGTCCCAGGCATGTGTAAAACAACAACTCTTAAGTCATATAGCAGGATTTCAGCAAAATCAGCACATAGAAACACACAACAAAAAAATAAAAAATAAATATCAAGCCCAAGACATTGGACAATCAACAATGGTAGAAGCCAGAAAGAAAAATAGCTGATAGGTTCCACTTTCTCACACCCCAAATCAGGCGGAGGCGGGAGGTCGAATTGGGTAATATTACTTCACAATAAAAACCACTACTTACTTCCATCAATAACAAGTTTTTCTAATATTTTTGGGGCAGTTATAAACTCATTGGAGGGTTTACAAAGAAAGAAAATTAAAACAAAAGCAGAAAAAAATAAAACAATAAATTACCCAAAACGAACTCGGTACAGCTTCAGCATTCAGGTGCAAAACTTCAATGTTTGCACCTAAAGTTATGCACAACTGCAGATAAACCCTAATTTTGATTAAAACGTATCCCTCAAATTGATTATCATTATCGGTACATTCAAAAATATAATGATCTCTACCAACAACCAAAAAAACTTAGACCACAAAAATAACAATAAACTCACCCTTCAGATTGGAGTTCGGAGAATTCTGGAAGAGGAAGGAAAGGAAGTCGTCTCATCTATCACTCTATCTCAAGTCGAATTGAAATCAGGTATGAAAATTGGAACAATGTCGTGCAATTTATGTTTGTAATTGTGCAGTCCAAGCCCTTTTTTTATTGGATTTTTGTATTTGGAGACTTGGAATTTGTATCCATTTTGAGTTCCTAGGCCCAAGCCAATTTTTTGAGGCCCTAGGCTTTTGCCTAGGTGGCTTGGCCACAGGGCCGGCCCTGTATCCATCCATCAATGTGGTGAAATCTGCTAATTCCATTTGATGAAAATTGCCACAAGTCTAATGAAAATTGAATGTAGCACATTGACAATGATAAATTTTCCAGTTCATTAATTGAATGTTTATTAAACTTATCTTTAGGATATTAATTTCTCAGTAAATAAAAAATGATACATTTTATTCATTCATCTATTTAAACAGTTATACATTCATAAGTGGGATTAATGTCGAGTTATAACGTAGGTTTTTATTGTTTAAGTTGCAAAATACATATTGTCCTCTTAAAGATTGGAGAGACGAACTCAAACTGTCCAAAAATAATTTATGCTTTTCTATCAAAATATTAATACCCACATAAACTCTTTATAGAGTACTTGTACCCATGGAACAAAACATATATTTCCATACTTACATTTTAATATTTTTCACCATCAAATTTATTTAAATATCAAATTTTGTCAAATAGCAAAGACAGAAAAGATGATAACATAGATAAATCATCTTTTATTTTTAAAGTAACATCGAGAAAGTCATTGCAATAAAAATCGTGAGACGTGTTTCTAAGCAGTTATGATATGGCAAACTATATACATAGTGTTAGATATGAATACCTATATCCTAGAATATGTATATAAATACAATACAGCATAATTATCCATATTCAAGAACATTTCGTATTCATAGTTTATGGTATATTCCATGTTTTTAAAAATGGAGCTACTTATGGGCACTGTAGGATTAAACTTGAGGGATGGATGCGTAACAATTTGAATAGAAAAGTGAGCAATGAGTAATTTTTTTATTCAATAATTGAGTAGTAATCTAGGAGTAAGTTTAATGAAAATTCATTTAACAATTCAACGTCCTCAATGTGTGTCACGTCTGATTTTCGTCTGGCATGTGACAAATTCTATCAAATACGAGTAACAAATTTCATTCTAGTGATGGATTAATAACCATTTGAATATATGAATAAGATTTGTCAGAGAGAGAGGTTCAAATGTTGGCATGATAAAGTAAGTTATCTACTCTTTGATGGTCAAACTTTTGGACTAAATAGGTAGTTTATACTCCAAGGTAGACAAAAATATCAAATCAAACTTGGTTATTATTCAAAATGTGACATTTTGATAAATAAATTTATTTACTCTTTGAAAGTTTGACATTCAATATATATATTTTTCCCATCTTAACATCGAGGTAATTTACTGCTTGTTGGATAAAACTTTATCATCTTTTTAATTGTTTCAATTTTAAATTTAACCATATATTTCATCAATTTTTTAAATCAAAATCTACTATATTTTTATAAAATACTTTGTCAACTTAATTTCCAAAAGAGTATTTTTTTTTCACATTAATACATTACTAATTCAAAAATTGGTAAAGTAACGGTCAAATCAATTACTTTTGATCAACTAACAGACAATTAAATGAAACTGTCGAGAGGTCCTTTGATCGTAAATCTTTTAAAAGGTACAAGCGTATGTGTAAAAATTAAAATTTCAAAACGTAATGGTACTTTTTAGAAAATTTGGAACCTCGACGCTCTCCCTTCACCACCCTCATGAGGATGGTCTACATGGTTCATAACTGTAAATTCACTACTATTAACCACGAATTTTTTATGTTTAAAGGTTTGCCATTCTCTAGTAATATATAATGTTTCCATTTATACACAATGATACTTTTATTATAATAATATGACTTTACTTACTCTGTCAATGAAACTTTTTATATTTAGTGTACAGTATGTATGTTGTGATAAAAAATATATATATTATAATTTGATGACTTCAAAATTTAAAATCTCTACTTTATGACTATATTTTTATAAGCGTAATGTTCTAAAAACATAATTTTCTCAACTTTTCAAAATATCAAAAATATTTAAATGAAAAAATTGTAGGTGGGACATGGACATTTTTTACTCAATAATACTATGACTATCATAAAACTTGAATACGTAATGTTTAACTCTAGTAAATTATGTCAAATTCAAATATTCAAAGAAAAAAGTCACAATTATTTTCTAGTTGGATCACATCAATGATCGAGTTACCAAGCCCATGAATTGGAGCTTCGTAAGAGTCCATTGGATAGTGTTGTTAAAGGTGGTAACCACATAAATGGTACGATCCCTTTATTTATTAATAAAGAAATGGAAATGAATATATACACAAACAAAATATATTAAACTAAAGACATATTGAAGTTCAATTATATACGTTTTTCTAATATGTCTAGTAAGCTTATCTAAATTTAATTTCTTTTCAACAATGTAATTCAAACACGATAATAATACTTTTAAATAAATACTTGAAAAATGATTTTAATGAACATAATTAGTGATTCCCACCTTACATTGCACTACAGCTACATTTGTTAAATTTTAAAAGCTATGATTGTTCAACAAAGAAAAAAAAACGTAACTGTTATAAAACTAATGGAAAGAAAGAAAATAACAAAAGAAATAGTGTGAAAACTCAATTATATCTTTTATTGAGAATCATGACCCATATTTATAGAGTTCAAAATAAAAGTTACTATTGGAATGAAATAGATCTCTAGACTAGATAAAACTTATCTATATATCATAATAATATTAACTAATCATCAATAATTATCTCACTATTTTACAACATGTCCCCTTCGATGATTATTTGTACAATAGACATCTCAGAAATTTTGTTTGGCAAAAACAAAAACAAAAAAACAAAAAACAACAACAACAACAAAACTTATCTATATATCATAATAATATTAACTAATCATCAATAATTATCTCACTATTTTACAACATGTCCCCTTCGATGATTATTTGTTCAATAGACATCTCAGAAATTTTGTTTGGCAAAAACAAAAACAAAAAAACAAAAAACAACAACAACAACTCTCAAAGCTTCCTTTGTAACTCTCAAAACTTTTCATAATGGCTCCCTTCGTTGTCTCATTTCAGAGGGATGGGACAAAAATGTCAACAAATTAAAAAAGAGTACAAATAATTTGGAGTAATAAAATGATGTCTCATTAAAATCTTGTCAAGAAAATTCAGTGGGATAAAACTTGATTAAAGGAAAAAGAGTACAGCTACTCCACTTGATTTCAATTCTTGTATCAAGTTATCCATGTCTCGTATATCAATTATTTCAATATTACCATTTCTGATGAAATATGTCTCGTGTTGTCTTGCATAGTTTTCAGATAACACCATCTTCATATGAGATATTTATTATCCATTGATAACTGTAGTAATATGATGATTCGAGAAAATTGCTCTTATTGATCTCTTCAAGAGTCTCATACATATAGGAGTATACTTTTTTACGATAAATGCCTTAATATCAATTATTTCAATATTACCATTTCTGATGAAATATGTCTCGTGTTGTCTTGCATAGTTTTCAGATAACACCATCTTCATACGAGATATTTATTATCCATTGATAACTGTAGTAATATGATGATTCGAGAAAATTGCTCTTATTGATCTCTTCAAGAGTCTCATACATATAGGAGTATACTTTTTTACGATAAATGCCTTGTAGATTAAAGACATCATTGCACAAAGAAATATACCTCATTAAAACCTAATTAGGAAAAACCCTATGAAAAAAATCCTAATGAATGAAAAATAATACATTATTCTTTTGAATACGCTACAAAATTTGTTTCATTCAAAGCCTTGCCTGGAAAATCCAATGAGACAAAATCTTGATCAAAGGAAAAAGGGTACACATTTATTATATACATATTAAATTTCATGCATTGTCAGCAAGGTAGGGACGTGCGATTACATCCATAACATGATAACTTATATATTTATACATGTTTTTCATGATATTTATTATTTAAAGAGTCGTACATTTCATATTACGTCTTTACTTTTTCCATTTTCATTTCGCATAAATATACACATTAAGGTATTCAGACTGTAGATCTATAAACTTTAGATTTCTCTAGTAAATTGAATTTAGGATTGCATCCCTTTTATTTAGCAAATCATTACTTTTATCGATATATTTCGATACATTTATTTTGATTCCTTGCTATATGATGGAGTACATCATGTGTAAAATTGTTATCGATGAATTTTTCGTTTCTTGTTCGATCCTATTTATTTTTCCATAGTGGCATAACTTATTGAGATATCTCAAGTTTCATTATTTCGGGTGTCTGAATGGGATTATTTTGAATCGCTCCATTTTCGTTTGGAGATTTTTCTATTAGAATCCAACACCATTATGCTTCAGGCATGCCATAAATATAAAAAGATATAATGATATCAAATTGTCCTCCTAGGAGATCAATTCATATTGGAGCATTTAAATTTGCATGTGAGATATTGTTATCTCTTTATTCAGTAAATATATCTAAAAAAATTATCTTTCGAACATTCAGTTCGAATTCTTTTAGGAGGATGTAAATGATGATGCATTTATACATTATTTTCACCCTCTTAATTCCTCCCCCTAATGTTGAGAAAATTGTCCAATCAAAATTGAGAATTAATAAATTGTGTTATTAAATATCATCCATTTGAAATAAGAGTTCAAACTATACATTTCTTTTTAATATTCTTTACTTTCGATCTTAGTGCAGTATGGTGGATCAATTTTACATATACAGCACTATCAAAATAAATACATAAAAAAATCAAACTTTGACCATAAACCACTTATAACGGGAGAACTATGATATTGATATGATGCGTAATAATATTCCCATAAAATTGGGAAGAACTTTACTCTCAATTAATTGAGAGAGTTTAACAAATAATAGTGTTAAATCATTTATCAACTAATACTTATTAAAATATTAAGATTTAGAATCA